TTGGAATTCGGAGGAAGTGAATTGAGGGCCGTTGTCAGACACAATGACATCTGGAAGCCTGTGTGCAGCAAAAATCCCCCTCAGTACCTGAATAGTCTTTGCAGTGGTGGTGGATGAGACAGGTACAACCTCAAGCCATTTGGAATGGCTGTCAACAAGGACCAAGAAGAACTGGCCCTGAAAGGGTCCAGCGTAGTCAATGTGCACCCTAGACCATGGGGACTGTGTTTCCTCCCATCTGTGCACGGGAGCTTGGGGCATCTCTGGGCGAGATCGTTGGCACAGGTGGCCTGCATGCACCTTAGCCTCAATATTTTTATCTAAACCAGGCCACCATAAGTGGCTGCGTGCAAGAGCCTTCATTACGAACAATGCCAGGATGACCCTCGTGGAGGGATTTCTAAGACCCTATTCCTCTTGAGGTGGTGGAATGACCAACTCTGTTTCCCCAAAGCAGACAACCCTGAGGAAAGGACAGTTCGTTGTCTCTATATTGAACCAGAAACTCTGAAACTCAGGACTTAGGTGCAAGGTGCTCAGGGCCACCCGGACAGGACCCAGGAGCTGACACTTGAAAGTGTGGTGAATCTGTACCCGTTTCAGCGGTAACATCCCGAGCACTAAGAGGGAGCTCGGGCAAGGCTTGGATTGATAGAATGTTGACAGCTGGCGCGGGGTCAGCTTCTACTACTGGCAGAGGCAACCTACTGAGGCCATCAGCATGGCCCATTTCTTTCCCATGCTTGTGGAGTAATGAAAAATCATATGCAGACAAGAAAATAGACCACCTAAGCATTCTAGGGGAAATGATGTGGGGAGTCTGCTTACGTGTGGTAAACAGTCCCCCAGATAGGCTATCTTGGATACAGTAAGACCGTGAAATGCCTGCCATATAGAAAATCGTGGAATTTTTTAATTCCAGCAACAACAGCCAGAGCCTCCCTGTCTATCTGAGCGTAGTTGCGCTCGGCAGAAGACAGTGTTCTGGAGTAGTATGCAATAGGAACCTTAGTTCCATCAGACCTGAGGTGACTCAGGACAGCTCCAACCCCGTAGGGGGACGCATCACAAGCGATGCACACAGGGAGAGACTCGTTGAAATGTGCAATAACACTGTTAGAAGTGAGCAAGGCCTTGACTTCTTTAAAGCAAGCCTCATGCGCTTGTGACCACAGCCACACAGCCTGTTTGTCTAGTAGCCTGTGAAGAGGCTCAGCTACACTAGCTTTATGTGGAAGAAAAGATTTGTAGAAATTCAGGAGGCCTAGGAAGGCCTGAAGTTCGGCCTTAGACTTTGGCCTGGGTGCATCTAAAATAGCAGTTAGTTTGGATTCAGCAGGATGAATCCCATCAGCATCAATTTTGAATCCCAGAAATTCAGTAGAAGGCACCCCAATCTGGCATTTGTCTTTTCTGAGCTTGAGGCCTGATTTCCTGAATCTTAACAGGACAGCCCTAATCCTTTCAGCTAGAATGTGTGTGGAGTCTCCTGCAATCAAGACATCGTCAAAGTAGGGGCAGACCCCTGGTATACCTCGTAGTGTGTTTTCCATAACGCTTTGGAAAATCCCAGGAGCGACATTCACTCCAAACTGTAGCCTTTTTACCTTAAAGGCTCCCCTGTGTGTCACAATGGTCTGAGCTATGGCAGCATCATCATCAACAGGCAGCTGTTGATATGCTTGAGCTAGGTCAAGCTTTGCAAAAACACGCCCCCCCTTGAGAGAGGCCAGGATGAGACTGACCACAGGAACAGGATAGGCATGTTGCTGCAATGCCTTATTGAGTGTGCATTTGTAATCAGCACAAATGCGAATGTCCCCATTTGCCTTTTAGTGAGGCGTGAAAATGGGGTCTCCACGGGCTGGAATCAACAGGTTCAGGATGTCCCTTTTGGATTAGTTTGTCTAATTCAGTGTCAATCTTACTTTTGAAAGCAAAAGGGACCCTTCGTGCTTTAATCCTAATGGGAGTGACAGTGGGGTCTAGCTTTAAGGACACAGGTGGTCCTTTGAATGTGCCCAGCTGGGGGCTGAAAACATCTGCAAATTCTTTGCAGACTTCCTGTAGGTCGAGTGTTTGTAGGCTGTTGAGCCCCGTGACGTGTATCCCCAAGGCCTCAAACCAATCGAGTCCTATGAGACTCGTTCGTTCACCCCCTACTACTAATAGTCTAGTGGACCTTCAAAATTCTTATACTGTACGTTCAGGGTGGCCTCCCCCTTAACACACACTCTTGAGTTCTGAAATCTGTTTAATACAATCTCAGACGGCCTTACTGGCCTTAGACCCACTTCCTTGAAACAAATCCTTCCTAAATGTATGCAATGAAATGATGGACAGGGCAGACCCTGTGTCTAGTGTTCGCATAGATAATTGACTCCTGTAGCTTCACGTTGAGTGACAGCTTTTTCTTCATGGGCTTGTGTGTGCCTGTTCTACAGATGCTTCTTCGCGAAGCGCAAAAACCTACCCTATTCTGGCTGGGTAATCTGGTACCCTTCAGGCGTTCTTCTTGGGGTTGTGCCTTTCGTCGGCCCAGGCACACAGCTGCAATGTGCCCTTGTTTACCGCATGCCCGGCAGGTAGCGGAGCGGAACTTGCAGTCGGTTCTCCTGTGGCGACCTCCACAGACGATGCACTTGAGCGGAGCCGAAGAGCTTCCCTTCTTGGTTCTCTCTCCCTCGCTGGGTGTAACGGGTCGACTTCTCGTCCCGGATCCTCCTCGGTGGTGATTTCGTTTGGACGTCTTCCTGGTGGGCACGGACGCACCCTCTGCACTGTTTCTGATCGGCTCCGCATGTTTTTGACGGCGCCGCCTGCTGCTTCTTCTGCGGTGACTTCCTTAAGTCGTCTTGGAAGGATAATTCTTCCTTTGCGAAAAGTCTCTGTTGTAGCTAGCGATGCCTTAAACCGCACATGAATCGGTCCCTCAGTCGTTCTTCGAGGTCCTTGAACTCGCAGGGCTTGGCGGCCTTCGTAACGCGGCGATGTATTCCTTGACTGACTCACCGGACCGTTGATCCCTTTGTTCGAAGGTGTGGCGCCATGAGATAACGGACACCTTGGGATGGAAATGCTCCTTCAGCAGCTTCTTCAAGTCTGCGTAGCTTACAGACTCTACTGGGACAGGTGCTGCAAGGTTTTCTGCGATTTTGAAGGCGTCTTGGCCGCAAACGCAAAGCAGGGTGGCCGCTTGGGTTATTTTTAAGACTTCAACTTGTCTTCCCTCACTTGGTTTCCTTGAAGTAGTTCTCCCATTCTGGATACGTTGGGACTCCCACCCGCTCTGGATGTTAGAAAACGTCGAATTCCGAAAGCCTTCCGATTTTGTCTGCGTGCTGCGAATCGTTTCGGATGCTTCAGGAGACAGGTTCTATCAGACCAGCCTTACCCCCGAAATGTCGCACTGGCGAATTGTGGCGGGCATGCTGCCGAGAGTATCAGACTCCTGTTCCTCTCTTCGAACCGCTTCAGGACTCCTTGGGTAAGCTTACCTTCTACGTTTTCCTTTCCAGGTAGTGCAAGGCATCCCATCCTCGTCGCCAGTGTTGCGTCCTTGGCGGGAAAACAGACACGAGAAGCAGCTGGAGTTCTCAAGTTCTTTTATTCAGCGTTCAGCTTACAGGAAGATGGCTTCAGCTCAGCCCAACGCCTCACAGCCTCTTATATAGGCAACTCCCGGGTAAATGGGTTACTTTTCCCGCGCCAGCACCCGCGCATGCGCACGGCGCTGGCGACAGCCTGTCTGGTCCCGGGCAGCTTTGCACCTGCCCGGGACTGCCTGCAAACGCCCAAGCCGTTTGCAAAGGCTCGGGACATAACAGGGTGGGCGCAGTTTCAGCATGACGCATCCAGCCTGCAGGCCGGCAGTTTGACATGCCTGCTTTAAATTTTATCTCTGACATTTTCCAACCTATCTATAATCTCTGATGTCTGTCTGTCTGTCTGTCTGTCTGCCTGCCTGCCTGCCTGCCTGCCTCTCTGTCTGTCTGTCTGCTGTCTGTCTGTCTGTCTATCTTTCAATCAATCATCTCTTTGACAAGGTTTTAAGAACCAAATGTGTGTTGTGCTGTATTGTGGAGCAATGCAAGAGGACAACAATACAAGATTATGCGAAGAGGACATAATCAAATGCTGAAGTGCCACCATCAGTTTGTAAAACAATAGTTCTTAGATCACCGTGATAATAATAACAACAACAACAATAATAATAGAATTGGAAGGGACCTTGGAGGTCTTCAACTCCCTGCTCAGGCAAGAGAACCTATACCATTTCATACAAGTGATTGTTCAGTCTCTTCTTAAAAACGTCCAGTGTTGGAGCATTCACAACTTCTGGAGGCAGGTTTTTCCACTGATTAATTATTCTAACTGTCAGGACTTCTCCTTAGTTCTAGGTTGCTTCTCTCCTTGATTAGTTTCCATCCGTTGCTTCTTGTCCTGCCTTCAGGTGCTTTGGAGAATAGCTTGACTCCCTCTTCTTTGTGGCAGCCCCTGAGATATTGGAACACTGCTATCATGTCTCCCCTAGTCCTTCTCTTCATTAAACTAGACATACCCAATTCCAGCAACCATTCTTTATACTGTATGTTTTAGCCTCCACTCCCCTAATCATCTTTGTTGCTCTTCTCTGCACTCTTTCTAGAATCTCAACATCTTTTTTATATCATGGTAACCAAAATTGGATGCAGTATTCGAAGTGTGGTCTTACCAAGGCGTTATAAAGTGGTATTAACACTTCACGTGATCTTGATTCTATCCCTCTGTTAAATGCAGCCTAGAACTGTGTTGGTTTGACCTGCCTGAAGTTTCACTTGGGATATGAGCAAGAGATTTTCTTTTCATAACTGGAAGCAGCAGGATTTTGACCATATTTGTTAGGTTGCTAGAGAAGCTCTCTTGCTTTGGAGGTGAAAATGTGTCAGCTAACCCTTGATTGGCTGACTATGGTTTAATGATTTCCCCAACTGACTGGATCATGACTTAACCAAATCCACCTGAGGTGGTGGGATGCCTCTTAGTGCTAATTCAGGCATCCCTCTAAAGATCTAAATCAGGGGTGTCAAACTGGCTGCCTGCGGGTTGGATGCGTCATGCACAGGCCATGCTCACCCTGGTTCCACAAAGGCAAAAAGCATGATATGTTACAATACATCACGATGGAGTTTAACACCCATGATCTAGATGTATTGACTTAGGGGTTTCCTTTGATGTAGGTAGGTTAGATTGCACTCTCTGTATGACACACCAATCTTCCCCTGCTAGTTTCTGTATGTTATCTTGGTTTCTTTCTTTCTTGGGAAATTGTGCAAGAATGCTGTCAGACAGCTGGGGAATTAGCTCAAATGGTAGAGCGCTTGCTTAGCATGCAAGAGGTAGCAGGATCGATGCCTGCATTCTCCAGCCATTCTCCTTTATTTTGCTCCCTCCATAGAAAGTCCTTCATCCAGTTTCTTCATCTCCTGCAAGGTTTTGTCCATGTGGTGCTTCTAAGTTGCTGAAAAATGTGTCCTAAGTCTGGGTGACCACTTAGCTTGAAGAGATGATGGGATCTTTTTCAATACAAGCTTTAGTGTAGCTGTGTGTGTAAAGGAGAGAAATAGATAAAGGGAAAGCAGTAAAGAAATGTTTGTTGTTACTGCTTGCTGTGTGGGCAGGAACCAACACTGTGCGAGCAGTGCTTATCAGACACAGCAAACCCAGGCTCCTTTCATTTTGGAACAAGAGTTTGTAAGGCAGACTTCTGAATCCTATAACCTGGAGTCACAGAGATGGATGACAGTTCTACACATCCTGGAAAGGATACCCCCATTTGCTTTACTGGGCATTTCAGTGTTTGCCATTGACAAGGGAGAGGTGGAACATTAAGCAGAAAGTGAATGATCAAACTAATGATTGCAACATTCTCTTTTACCTCTGTTAAAAGAGTTGCTGCTTTGCTTTCTGTTTTAAAACCTGTAGATGTTTTCTCTACCACGTCAGACTCTAAGATTATACTGGAATCCCCTACCTGCACCCTTATTTAATGAAGAGACTAGATAAAAGTGGGAGGACTTATTTGGTGATGGCTCTAGCTCAGTGTTTCTCAACCTTGACAATTTTAAGGCATGTGGACTTCAACTCCCAGAATTCCACAGCCAGCATTGCTGGCTGTGGAATTCTGGGAGTTGAAGTCCACATGCCTTAAAATTGTCAAGGTTGAGAAACACTGCCTAGCTCATGCAGTGTGCTCACTAGACAGAATCACCTTTTGATCTTTTGTGCAAGATGAAAAGTTTTTTTTTCTCTTTCCTAGGAAAGACTGAGATTTTTTAAAATGCTTTTCTATCTTTGTATTGTTCAATATTGCTGCTAACTTGACATTGCTTTTTGCTGCTGTGCTCTTCTTAATGTCATGTTCTTGTTTTTTTTTTTTCATTTATTTTTCAAAATACCTGTCCCTCCAGAAAACTTTAGGCAACAAAAAAAGTGCAACCTTACATGATGAAATCTGTTTCAGGATGCTGTATTAGCTTACTAGAGAGAATATTTATAGAAATCATTTTTGTTCTGGCATCCCCTTTTCTCTGTTGTGGGACTTTTTCCTTTCTCGAATGAAGGCAAATATACCTGTCCCAGGATAATGTTGTAGGAGCCAATCTGGGTCTTTTCACCAGGACTACAGGTTTTGACTTCCCAGCCCAACTTCAGGGAACTTCTTTCTAGCAGAGTGTGTGCTGTTCTGTGTGTGGTATTTACAGTGCCCATTGTAAGGGGCTTTTTAGATGTTGATTGGGGTGTGTTGATCACTAGCTTTTAAGTCATTAGCTGTTGTTTGCTTGTACTGCCTGCCCTCACCTTCTAAGTACTTGATAGGCTGGTGATGAACTCCAATCAACTCCTGTTGACTGACAAGAGGCCTGGTTCCCAGTTTTTTTTTTTTTTTTCCCTTTCTCATTCCATAAAGGCCTCTGGAATCCTCTTTGTTTAAAGTAAGACAGCAGAGCGGGGATGGTGGAATAGCTTAAGTGTGGAAGCTTTCCACCCCTGTTATAATGTGAGGGAATTTCCAAAGCAGATCTTCTCCTTTTCCTGTGGAAACAGTGGGAGAAAGCAAACTTTGTAGCAAGCTCTACTTTGCAGGATCACTGCTAGAGAAATGCAAATTCGAATACATTCTCAAACCTGGATTAGTAGCAGTACTTGGGTAAAAATGTCTCGAACAGTCACTAATTGCGAGCAGAATAGGATTCAGCAGTGTGAGGCGGTTGTAAGAAAGGCACACAACATTTTAGGCAGCATCATGAGAAGTTTCAAACAACAGTGGGGATCACCTGGGATCAAAAACCAAATTCTATGAGGAAAGATGGAAGAACTTGGGAATTTATAATTTTGAGAAGAAGAATAAGAGCGATAATATAACACTGACCTTCAAACTTCTGAAAGTCTCTCTGAGAAGCTCTTTTGAGAGTGAAACCCGCTGATGCAGAATGAGGTTGAGCTTCCTTCCTTATGCCTTCAAGCAGAGGGTGGACAGCCAAACCTTGGATATGTTTTCATTTGGATTCGTCTTCTGGGCAGGACTTTCTTTCCTGTTATTTAATTGGAAGGGTGAATAATCATGTTTTTTTTTTCTTTACAGAATCACAGGCAAATGTACCACTAACAAAACATTTTTCGGGGTGAACCCAGTGACATGAAGGCCACTGTGTACAGAGTTATTGATTTGTTTGCCAACCCCTGGGACTTTGTTTGGCTGCAGTATCAGCCTCTATTCCCAAAAGAAAACATACGCAAGAATCTTTTCCCCATGCCTTATTGGCTGATCTTGAAAGTTTGGTGAACGCACACTAGAAACCCAATCCCAGCTTGGAATTCTGTTCTTTATTCACTTTTTTGCTTGTTAATATTGGCTCAGGACATTTCCGCTTCAGATCCTAAAACAGGATGAATGTGATTTTTCTACTCGGGTTCCCTGCCCTGCTCCTCTGCAGTACTGGTAGGTATTTTCATGACTTTATAGACAGACAGTTTGAATCACAAGCCAGAGGATATGAAAAACTCTTGTAGGAGCATGTTGACTGAGCACCTAGCTTTGGGAAGGCCTTCTGTATTCTAATAGCATCAGGGAATGGATGGAAGGATAGAAAAAGAAGGGATTCAGTAAATAAAATGGCCGGTTGGTAAGATTCAAAATGGTGCTGATAGGCAGGAACCTGAAAAACTCACCATGGATGAGATTAGGTGGTGTGCCTAGTTCTGCAGAGCACACAGAGATATTCTAGGAATTCTCATCCATATGAAATGAAATTCAATGGTGAAAAAAGTAAGGTTCTACATTTAGGCAAGAAAAACCAAATGTACAGGTATAGTATAGGGGGTACCTTGCTCAATAGTAGTAACTGTGAGAGGGATCTTGGAGTCCTAGTGGACAATCACTTAAATATGAGCCAGCAGTGTGCTGCAGCTGCCAAAAAAGCCAACACAGTACTAGGCTGCATTAACAGAGGGATAGAATCAAGATCACGTGAAGTATTAATACCACTTTACAATGTCTTGGTAAGGCTACACTTGGAATACTGCATCCAGTTTTGGTCACCACGATGTAAAAAAGATGTTGAGACTCTAGAAAGAGTACAGAGAAGAGCAACAAAGATGATTAGGGGGCTGAAAGCTAAAACATATGAGGAATGGTTGCTGGAATTGGGTATGTCTAGTTTAATGAAGAGAAGGATGAGGGAGGACATGATAGCAGTCTTCCAATATCTCAGAGGTTGCCACAGTTAGAACAATTAACCAGTGGAACAACCTGCCTCCAGAAGCAGTGAATGCTCCAACACTGGAAGTTTTTAAGAAGAGACTGGACAGCCATCTGTCAGAAATGGTGTAGGATTTCCTGCCTGAGCAGGGGGTTGGACTCAATGACCTCCAAGGTCCCTTCCAACTTTATTGTTGTTGTTGTTGTTGTTGTTGTTGTTGTTGTTGTTGTTGTTGTTATTCAGATGTTTTCCCAGAATTTATCTATACATGAAAGGGAGAAATGATTTAAGCCAACGGTCCCCAATCTTTTGGGTACCAGGGACATGGAGAGAGGTTTTTCTGTGGACTGGAGGGGGTCTGGTTTTGCATGCTGCCTGCACTCTGCATCCTGCAGATGGGGCTTTGCTTGTTTGCATGGCCAGATTTCTGATATATTGCGGCCTAGTGCTGGTCCACAAGTCAGGGATTGGGGACCACTGACTTAGGCTGTCTACTCTGTCTACCTGTTTTTTCTAGGTAGATTCAAAACATCTCAGGATTTATTGTTTTCCAATCCTGTTCAAGATGTTCCTTCCCCTGGGACACCTCATTCATAGCTTGCATTTCCCATAGAATGAAGTAGACCGTGGTCCATCTACACTTGCCCTGTGCAACATGTTTATTGCTCCAAAGAGACTTGTTTTTATTAAGCAGTTGGAAGCTTCAGCTTTTCTTGACCTGCTGCCCAGCCAAATCATTTAACTGGGGTTAATGATGATTTGAATTGTGCAATTGCTTCAGTTTTTGAGGATCGAGAATGAGTATTAAATACAAAAATGGCAGCTCCCTTTCTGATTTTTGTTGACTGCAGGACCAAGTGGAGTACAATAAAAGGCTTAAGGTTTCCCACGTTTTCCATCTATTTCCTTACTAAAATTGATTTCTGCTCTTAATGCCATTTAAAAGCTTCATTAACTATTTTAAAGGGGCTCTAGAGCAGAAATCAGTTATCTTCATTGTAATTACAAATAATCTTTGTAAGAGGAAAACTGAATTTCCCAAAACAATCTGTAGAAGGTAGAGATTTAATCTTCCCTACATGCACAGTCATCTTAATTGTGATTGACAGAGAAGAGCAACAAAGATGATTAGGAGACTAGAAGCTAAAACTTATAAAAAATGGTTGCTGGAATTGGGTATGTCTAGTTTAATGAAGAGAAGGATGAGGGGGGACATGATAGGAGTGTTCCAATATCTCAGGGGCTGCCATAAAGAAGAGGGAGTCAAGCTATTCTCCAAAGCACCTGAAGGCAGGACAAGAAACAACCGATGGAAAATAACCAAAGAGAGAAGCAACCTAGAACTAAGGAGAAATTTCCTGAGAGTTAGAACAATTAATCAGTGGAACAACCTGCCTCCAGAAGCTGTGAATGTTCCAACACTGGAAGTTTTTAAGAAGAGACTGAATAACCATTTGTCTGAAATGGTATAGGGTTTCCTGTCTGATCAGGGGTTGGACTAGAAAACCTCAAAGGTCCCTTCCAACTCTGTTATTGTTATTGTGATTGGTTTCCAACTGCTTGCGGTGCTGTTAAAAAGATAAGTAAGATCTATCTTATCACTGTCTATTTTTTGCCTGAACAATTTGGATTTTCCAGTAATACTTTGCACTTGTTCCTTCTTGAAAATTGTCATTGGATTTGGCTGGCTGTTATATTTTATATACATTTTCTAATTTAGGGTTTTTATTTAAGTTAGGGGCACAAAATTGTGTCTAAATTTGCAGTAGGAAAATGTTGCTGTACAGTCAAACTCCCCCCCCCCCCACTCTCTCTCTGTGGCAAATCTCTGCCTCCTTGAAAAACATCTAAATAGGGTTATGGGCATCTTTTAGATATGCAGCATTGATGGGAAGCAAAAATGGTCTCAAATCAGGCAGAGAAAGAGATTTCTTGCAAAATGCATCAGCTTATCAAAACTTCCTCTATTAGCAGACAATTGTTGCTTCTCATTCCAACTTGAGCAGAACCACTTCAGATGCTCCTCACCTTTGTTTGCTGGGGTTTTTTGTTTGTTGGTTTGTTTATTTGTCCCTTTAACGGTCTCCTCTTCTCTGTCAGCCCAAGGTATCATCTGTAAAGTCTGTGACTCTGGAAATGACAAAGGTTGCTATGACAAAGAAGAGACTTGTAAGACTTACTCTGGACAATGTTATACATATGCAAGTTATATGGGTAAGATCCAAGGATGAAAACATGCAATAAAAGAAAGAAAGCCAGCCAGATATAGTGATGTGAATACAGTTTAGCACAGGCGAGGATCTTGAATGGTGGTTTTGATATTTTAAGAATGGTTCTTTTTAAGTTTGTCTAGGCTAACAGATGGTTTTCCGAATGGAGCATTTGACGATCATGTGATTCCACACATCACAGAGTAGTTGTTATTCTTTGCTTCATCCTGTTCAATGTTGTCTACATTCATCTTGTCCAACTCACAGACCTGTGATCCCCTCTTCTAGGTGGCACACAAGTCATGCAGTTAGTTCTATTACCATCTGCACACAAATGTGCCCTTCTTGTTGAAGGCAGAGGTTAAAAATGATGCAGACCTGGGCTAAAGCAGATGTCAGCAGACTGATTTCTTCTTAATCAGCAGCCAGTGTGGACAAGTGGCCAAAGACTATGAGAACTGTAGTCCAAAAGATCTGGAGGTTACTGACCCCTTGGATAGAAAAAAGATGGGCATTATTGTTATGATTGGCATGGCATGCAGTTGGTGGGATGTGTGGGGCAAATGTTAAAATTACACAGATCTTAGAGAACGTTTGGCACTGACCCACTGAAAGTCTTTTTAAAAAACAAGGATGGGAAAAACAAGGATGGGAATTGAAATCTTAGCAGCAAAATGTAGCTACTGAACTCCCATGGTAAGAACCACACTGATCTAAAATGGGATTTGGAGAGCTGGTTGTTTATTTTCTGGTATAGTCCAAACATTCTCATGGACAGCATTTTATGCTTTGGCCTTTTTTTCTTTTTCCTTTCCTTTTCCTTTCATGTAGACAGGGGACCATTGTTACTGTGAGATCCTGCTTTTATTTTGTACAACTCAAGGCAGTGTACACCCCAAGTGGGGATGACCTGAGAAAGAGTAATTGTCTCAAAGACACCAGCCAGCTTCCATGATTAAGGAAGAACTAGACTCACATTCTCCTGGTTTCTGGTTCATCACCTTCAAACTGGCTCCCACACTGAGTTGCATTTGAAACCACGTCATTGGGTGTATGTCTTCACATGTGTGTTATTAGATTTCAATCCCACATTTCTTTTGTACAACTCAAGAGGATGTGTGTAATGTTCCTACCTTTCACTTTCCCACAACAACAACCCAATGGTGACTTGAGAGGGGGACAGATCATCTGTCATCCAGCCAGCCTTCATGTCCAAAGTAGAACTGCAATTCATGATCTCCTAGTTCCTAGTCCATCACCTTCACCCAACAGGCTTCATCCATCTATCTTCCCTGATCCCCTCCTGCCACACTGAAAAGGCAGCCCCTCCCACAGAGGAAAGCAGCCAACAAACCTTGGTGTTTGCTCTAAAGCAGGTTCATTGGAGGGCCTGGAAACCTTTCAAGGTAGCGTTCTCACTTGGCAAGAGTTACTCAGCCAAAGAGATTGCAGGGACAGTAATAAGTAACAGAGAGGCACGAGGTGATTTCATTGCATGCAAGTTTTCAAAACACTCTCCCACGGTGTTATGTATATTTATATTTTAATGGTTATTTAAAGTGTGTTTTTACTGTGTTTTATGGCAAGCCTTCCAGAGTCACACACATAAGATGGGCAGCTATATAAATTTGATCAACCAATAAATAAAGTAACTGGTGTTCCCAGAGTAAGATTCAGGGATCACCCCCTGGTATCACTTACAATGTCCTGAAGATGTCTCATCAATTCTTTTTAAGAGATGTGTCTTCACAACATCTCTTCCAACTCATGTGCAAGCCTGTTGCAAATGCAGCCTATAGTCATCTTTAATTGTTTCATAGTGCTTTTTGCTCTCTTTTCAGTACAAACTTTGCTGTCCAATCTATAATGACTTGGTGAGGATTCTGCCAATGAACTGCCAAGCTACAATTAGCTGTTTAAGCCTGCTTAAAGCCATGATCCCCATTCCTATGTAGACCCTGGGCATTACCTTCT